CTTATTTATCAATGTTAAGGTTAAAAATATTAAGACCTGATTTTAAATCTCACAGCTAGGGTCTACTTTGAAAGAATTAGAAGTCCAGTGAGAGGATCTCATTCTTTTTTTATGTACTCCATTGGGTGTAAGTACTACATTTTCTTTCTAAATTCATCTGTTAACAGATCCTTAGTGTGGTTTCCGTATCACGGCTATTGTGAATAGTGCTGCAATAAACATGGAAGTATAGACATTTCTTTGATATAGTGATTTCCTTAGGTGACACATATATTTAAATGTAGCATGAGATCAAGATCACATAGCTTTAACAAAGCAAAGTTTAAAGTCACCATTCAGAGCTACCATTTCATCATGGGAATTCGAGTGAAGATGGTGAATCAAGGGAGCATGATCTCGGGGATTACATTTGAAATTCAAACATTTACTACTACTACTTGAAGATGGGCGGAGAGAAGACAGTCATAAGTGTTGAAATATAAGTGTTGAGGTATATGGGAACCATGGATTGTGTGTGTGCATTTGATTTCCAATCCTTCACCTGCTGTTTTTCATTTTTGTCTCCCAATAATAAACTTTTCCTGCTTGAGATACTGCCACCGGGAATCAAGTAGTAAAAACACACACTACTGGCATCCAGTATCAAAATCACATAAATAAAAATATATGTGAACTTCTAGCTAATTAGAAAACACTTGGCCAAGCACAGCAGCTCAAGTCTGTAATCTCAGCACGTTGGGAGGCTGACATGGGATGATCGCTTGAGCCCACGAGTTCGAGACCAGCCTGGGCAACATGGGGGAGATCCTGTGTCAACAAATAATTTTAAAAATTAGCTGGGCCTGGTGGCATGTACCTGTGGTCCCAGCTACTTGGGAGGCTGTGGCAGAAGGACCCTCTGAGCCCTGAGTCCGGGATGTTAAGGCTGCAGTGAGCCATCATCATGCCACCACACTCTAGCCTGGGCAACACAGCAAAATTCTATCTCAAAAAAAAAAAAAAAAAAAAAAGAAAAAGAAAAAGAAAAGAAGAAGAAGAAAAAAGAAAGAACGGTGATGTATGTTTAATTTTTTTAATGTACTCCCAACATAGAAAAATTTCCCAGATATTTGAAGTATTCTGAAATCTTACCAAATATCCCAAAAGAAATGCTAAAATAAAATTTGTACCTAATAAATTCCTGCTATTTCCCAGAATTAATTTGATGGGTCATAGAAAAAAAAGTTTTAATGTTTTAAGTAACAAACACTCTTTTTTTTTTCATTTTCCCGTAGATTAATTCAGCCTGACCTCACTACTAACAAATTCTGCTTCAAATAATTTTTGTTTTTCTTTGTTCTTGAAGTTTAAGTATGAATTTTCCTCACTCATTTTATTCAATTTCTTCAATAGTTTTATTCATATTATCTGATAATAAAATAACATAATTCCATTTTTATCTTGAGCAACCATACCAATAATTTATTTTAAGGAATTTGAAATACAAAAACTTTTGAATACAAATAATCACGGCTAGAGCTGTCAGTGAATAAAATATGAGCAATTACATTGAAAGCCTATTCTGAGGACTATAAGATTTGGGATAGAGATAAGCCAAGAACATGGAAAACATCTATCAGACAATGAATAATTCACAAAAAATATTCAAAGTGTTATGGGAAAGTTTCTATCAGATTTTGAGAAATCAGAAAGGTCTCACGGAGAAGCTCACATTTCATTTTTAAAAAATTATTTGAGAGAGAAATAGAATGTATCAAAACAAGTAGGAGGTGAGAGTTATGGTCTAGAAGGAAATAGTATCAGCAAAGATTCAAAGAAAAAGGAAAAGAAAATGTGCATTTAGGGAGATCAAGGCATTCATTTCCTCCATGGTATTCTCTACTTACTACTATCTGGAATTTGTCACAATATGTAGCAGTCTTTTATTTACATCTTTCTCCTTGTAAGACTATGTATTGTTCAAAAATGAAGACCTTGTGTTATTATCTTTATATCTTTATAATTTATGTCTATATAATTTCCAGTATATAGAAAGTTGTTTATGTTATTGAATAAAAAATGAATGAATGAATGTTTAAGTACAAAAGAAATGTAAGGGAATTGCTAGTGACAAGGATAAAAAATATTGAAGTAATAATGTTGTAAAAAGGAAGAGGTGAATAATCACTGAAGGATTTTGAGTAAAAATTTGGCATAAATAAACAATGCTTTAGAAAAATAGTCTGACTGCATCAAGAAGACTATGCTGAAATGGATATAAACTGAAGGAAGGAAGAAGTCCAGTTCCAGAGTATAAGTAATAATTTAAGTCAGAATCAACTTAGTAGCCATGAACATGGACTTGTGGGAGGCAACGCTCTAGGAGAGTTGTAGAAATGGTTCTGCTGCCTGCCTGCTTTGCCCCACAGAAATGCATGGCCTCGTCATGAGTTAGATGTTTCCCTCACAACAATGTGAGGGTTGAAAATAGTCCCTAGGCCTGGGGTAGACTCAGTCCTTTGGACATAACCATCTATTTATGTCCACAGTTGTCTCCTTCTGCAGCCTGCCTGTCCGATTGCCTTCTTCCTGGGCCCCTGATGCTCACTTCAGTTTCCTCACACAAGTAGATTTTGGCTTTATACCCTACCCTGGGCAATCAGCACTCTACTTCCATACTCTGTATTCTGCCAGACTAATTCTCCAGAAAGCGTTGGTGCTCACAGTCTGATAACATCCTTCCTGATATAGGACTCAGGTACCCATATGATATTGATGAATGATGCCACTCCAAAACATTCAAATTGAATTCCTGCTTTATTCTAGAACAGACAATAGATCATTGTTGGCCTTGACCTAATGATTCAAAGAACTGGTTGCCCTGGCTTTTTGCTTGCCTTTTATTAAAATCTTCCCTATACCACATGGACAAGCCATACCTTATAAGAGGTATAATTAATAGAGTTCAGCAATGGATTAAATACAACACATCAGAGTTTCTGGAATAAAAAAATATCATCTGAGATTTTTAGCTTGCTTAGTTGAGAAAATGACAGTTTCCTCAACAGAATAGAGGTAAGAAAGGGAAAATATGAGGATGGCAGATGGGAGGAGAGCAATAAATTTGATTTCAGACGTCATAAACTTGAGATGTTAAGTTACAACTAGACCAAGTTGCAAAAGAATGGTTGGAGCCTAGAGGTAAAGTCAAGTCTAAATATTCATATTTTTAATTAAATAATAAAGATGCAGAGACTTAATTAAATCACACTTATGGTAATTGAATTGTCAATAATACAAAGAAAATGAGTTCACAAAGAAAATGGGTTCACAAAGAAATAAAGCAGATAGAGGAAAATCTTAGTAAATGATTAGGGAAAGTTGGGAGAAGAGAGACTGAACAGAAGCTAAGAAAAAAAGATTTCAGAAAAAATACATAAACTATATCAAATTTCTCAAATAAGTCAAGGATAAAGATTTGTTGTTGATGCCAGAGCTTGGAGTTGCTCTTTTGTGGGAACATTTTCAGGAATGTGCCAAGAATGAAAGCCAGGTTGAGAGAGACAAAGCAGTGAGAGTCAACAAGATGGAGTCAAAAGTCTGCCCAAGTTTCAAGAACTTTGGTATTGAATGAAAGAGGAAAAGAGGGTATAATTTTGGAGGGGAATTGGATTGGGATGAGTTTTCTCTTCTTTAGAGTAGGAAAAGCTTTGAACCCTTTTGTCAGCAGTGGAGAAACCAGCAGAGAAAAAGTGACAGAAGACACTGAAAAAACATCAGGAAAATGGATGAACAAAGTTCCAGAGAAATCGGGAAGCAGGGATTTGTAATTGTCTTTTCAAAGACAGCAACAAATCAAAGAAGGGAGACCAAGATTTATAGAGGCTTTAGGAAATTAGAAGTAAAGCAGAGAGCTCAGGTAAGATGATAATAAACTAGTCGAATACAAAAAGAGCACTCAGTTTTACTAGCCTGAGACAACCAGGAATAACTAGGGTCATCTTCCAAAACGACATTTCAAGTATGTTGTCATTTCAAATAATAAAATAACAGCCTTCATTAATCTAAAATTCAACTGAGGTGTGTATTGCCTTAATATATGGATTTGAAAAGTTAGATTGATTTAATGCAAGATCATGCTTTCATGTTTACATGTGCCAGGAGCCCAGCACACAAAAAATACTTAATATGTATTTGTTCCTAAGTAAATCAGTAAAACAAAAACACAAATAGCTTACATTTTTAATAGACGGTTAGCCTTAACTACCCACACACTTGTTATATAAACACACAGACAACTATATGTATACTTGTTGGGTGACTGAATGGCTCATGGAGGGGGGCCTCTCTCATCACCTAATTCACAGAACCCCAAATTCTCAACACTTGAAGTAGGGTAAGTTGTGATCCTAAAGTAGCCTGTAACACTTGCATGAATCACCTTCACAATGGACTGCATCTGGTTTTTATCCATAGGTACATCATTCCCCAAATAGCACCACATTCCAAGTTAACTAATATCTGGATCGAATAGGTGAGAATATAAGAGTTCCTTCCCTGTTGTTATAGTTTGAATGTATTCTCCAAATTTTCACATGTTGAAAACATAATCTCTCCATCCTTGTGAATAGATTAATGTCATTATCAGGGGAGTGTGTTTGTTATTACAGGAGTGGTTTTGTTATAAAAGCAAGATCTCTCTGACTCTCTTGCTCTTGCCTCCTAACCATGTGATGCTCTCCACCCTGTTATGAGGCAACAAGAAAGTCTTCACTGGATATAGCCCCTCGACTTTGGACTTTCCAGCCTCCAGAACAGTGAACTTAATAAACCTCTTTTCTTTATAAATTACCCACTTTGTGGCATTTTGTACAGCAACAGAAAATGAACCGACACTTCTCATTGTCTTCTCCACAGCCACTACATGAGAAATTCAATTCCAAATCACAGCTCTTAGTCCTAAGTGGTGTGGAGCTCTTCAGGTCAGCTTACCCAGGTACAACTGTATGAATTGATTGTATGAAACATGACTCTCTCACCCAGACAGCAAGGTAAGTATTACATCACTTCACAGAGGAAAAAACTGAGTTTCAAAAGGAGAAGTAATTTGTTCAAGCTTTAGATGCCTGTTAAGTGGCTACAAATGCATTTGGTTCTCCAACTATCCCACACTGCTAAAGTAGCACAGGGGTATCATTTTTTTTTTTTCTTTTTTTTTTTTTTGAGACAGAGTCTCACTCTGTTGCCAGGCTGGAGTGCAGTGGTGTGATCTTGGCTCACTGCAACCTCTGCCTCCTGGGTTCAAGTGATTCTCATGCCTCAGGCCCTGAGACAGGCAGGCACCACCACATCCATCAAATTTTTGTATTTTTGTAGAGACAGGGCTTCACCATTTCATTGAATGGTAGTTTACTAGGTAAAGTTTTATGGAAGAAAAAGTCAAGATAGTTCTGAAATCTTAGTTCTTTTATTCTCTGTGCAGCACTCCCTCTCTAAATAGATTCTGATTCTCTGTTTTGTGTAGATCACACTCTGACACAAATTCCTGCCCTTTTGGGAAGTATGATAAGCCTCAAGGCAAACAATTCTTCCTTCACAACTGCAGTTCTGGGGACCTGATGACATAGAATGACTCGCTAGACTCCTGCCTCTTCTACTTCATTCTTACCATGAGCTCCCCTAGAAGATGTAGTCATCCACCATTACCAAGATCTGGAACCAGAAAGATCAAGCTCTAGGAAGCAGCACACACTATACTCCTGTGTGGAAACAAAGTAATCCTCATCAGATCATCTAACTTGCTGTTGCTATAAGGACTGTGAATTGGTAACCATAAATAAAGCATAGGAAAGAGGAGGGAAAGCACCATCAACGATAGTTAAAAACTGGATGTGACATTTGACCACCTGAGTTTAATTTCTAGTTCTGTCTCTTTCTAGCTGTGTGACCATAAATTAGTTACTTATCTCTCCACATCTTCAAGTCTTCAGGATTGTGTGCTTTCAAAAGAGACAATGGCACTATAATGTATATGCAGCACTGATGAAAAAACACCTGGGACACAGTAGGTGGTCAAAAATAATATCCATTAATACCAAGAGGAGCATACCTGCTGGCAGGAAAGTTAAGACATCTATGAACTGCATATATAAATAAAGTGCCATATAAATAAAACAAAATTTCTGCAATGGGGAGGGCCTGGGAGTAAGCTTTCTGTCACTCTGCAGAGAACCCTTGAACATGGAAAACATCTTCTTACTTTTTACCAGAAACCCAGAACTTTGTGAGGGGATGAACAACACAAGCCCTTCTTATTTGTTCCCGTGAATTTAGCTTGAGTTTCTATTTGACCCCCTGCCATAGATTCAATCTGTTTCCATTTAGATCTGTCCATCTGTCCTGAATCTCTTGACACTGATCTGCCCAGCCTACTTGCTGTCTTCATCCTCCAGGTTGGCAAGCATCTAGATTCTTCAGAGTGTCTAGTGTTTATACACTACTTCTTTCTAGGCCAGCTTCTGCCTGTGACTTCCTGTCTGAGTGCCTCATAGCTGATTTTGCACCTTTTGCTAAGTCCAGTTTCCATTCCTGGTTTCTTCTATTCTGCCCCGCCCATGACCTAATCAGTGCCCATTTTTATAACCAGACTTTTTTTGTGCCATTTAAACTCCTGAGTTTCTTCCCAAACCCGTTCATTGTAATCCTCATATTCTTTAGCATCAACAAAGGAGCCATCCACGCTGGATTCCCCCTCATTCCCTAGAAGCCTGTAACACATTATTCCAGGCACCTGACCCAGAATGTGCAGACTCATTCCTTGCATTACCTGGTCTTCCAATATCTATAATCTCCTCTCCTGTAAGCACAGCAGCCCTGTTGTTGTGAGAAATCACCAAAGCCTTCCCTATTTGGCTATGTCCCAGGTTACAGGCTTTGACAAAGTAGCAATGACCATCTTGAAGGAGTAGTCACTTTCCTGATGGAAAGAATTCCTCTTGGAATTGAGATCAAAAACCACATGTGGTCAATTAGCATAAATTTTGGGATAATTTGTTTCACCAGATCACCTAATTGCTATAACGCTATTGTTTAGTGAACTTGATTAAAAGACAGTGGACTGAGCACAAGTTTTAGTCAGGTTATGTTGTAAAACATTTTTTTAAAGAGAAACTGACACCTACCTTGAGGGTTAATGTGAATTGTATTAGTTTCCTAGGGCAGAGGTAACAAACTACTGCAAACTGGGTTGTTTACAAAAATAAAAATTTATTCTCACATAGTTCTAGAGGCCAGAGCCTGAAATCAAGGCGTCAGCAGGGTTGGTGCCTTCTGGAGGTTCTGGGAGAGAAATCATCCCATGCCTCTCTGCTGGCTTCTGGTGGCGGTTGGCAACCCTTGGCTCATGGGTCACCACTACACATTCTGCCTCTGTCATCATGTGGCATTCATCCTAGGTGTGTCTCTGTGTCTTTGTTTTCTCTTCATATAAGGACACCAGTTATTGGATTAGGACCCACCCTAATCCAGTATGTCCTCATCTTAACCTAAATATATCTGCAAAGATTCCATTTTCAAATAAGGTCGCAGGGTGAATTTCCAGGTAGACACAATTTGGGAGACACGGTGTTCAACCGAGAATATGAATATTAGTGAGAAGGAATGTAAAACACCTGGCAAAATGACTGGCACACAATTAGGGTTTAATAACTAGTAATTATTGGTACTTGTGGCTTACTAAATTGGCTATTCTGCACTGAGTAATGCTAGAGTGCTGACCGTGTAATGAAGGTTAGAGCAATTTACAACCATGTCAGTATATCTTTCTCATTGTGTTTTTCTCCCAACCCCAGACAATTTAAACTCAGTGCCCAAGGCAAGTAAATTTAAACCTGAAATCAATCAGTTTGCTCTGGTTTCTTGTAAGCCACTTTAGTACTCCTGAAATATAAGCAGGGAATTAGCAGAGCCTTCTAATGCCTTGAATTAAATTTTGTGCCAAACTTCACTGAATGCTAAAAATAGATTGCCTCATTGTTCACTAGTAAAGGGAGGATCCCTAACTGCTTCAAATTAAGTTGTGAGCTTCTCGTTTAATTGCATACTTTTCTCTGCTCAGACTTTGTGGAGTCCATGGCTGCTACTTCTCTACTGTTTATATAAATTTTATCTTGGTGCTAAAGTGAAAATTGTGGCATTTCTTAGATGTAGGGTTTGTAAGGAAAAAACATTTACACCTGTTTTCCCAAGAGTTAATTGTGATTATGCTGGAAAATAGGAAACTGAACTGGAAGAATCTAGAGATTCCCTCTAGCAAGGATCTTCTGTTTCTCCTCTTGGACTTGCTGCCATTATCTTTCCCAAGCCAATTCCCAATTGTTCCTCAATTATTTCAAATCAGCCACTACTTCTTCAAACTTTAAAATCTCATTACTGGATATTTCGGTTCAAAACTCCAGGCTACACTACTTTAGTGCCCAAGCTAAATACTATTTAGCTTGAAAGAAAAAAAGAAAATTCTGCCATATGTGACAATATAGATGAACCTCAAGGACATTATGCTGTGTAAGAGGACATTAAGTTACATAGGCCTTATTGTTTTCACTTTTTAAAAATGTATATACTTTGGAATAAACAGATAATTAAAACTTTTTCTCACTGCTTCCTTACCTTGATATCAGATTTTTGCTATGTGTACAGCATTGTACCATAAGGCATTTTGAAGTCAGGTGGTGACTACAAAGGTATATTTTTTTTTTTCTAAATACACTATTCTGTCCATGAATCAAGCCACACTAATAGAAAAAAACCTGCATACCTGAATCATGTTTTACCATCTTATACATTTTTTTTTTTTACTTTTTCTTTTTTTTCTTCTGAATTATTATATAATGTGGTGTTTCTAATACACTTTGAGGAACATTATAAGAAATAGCTTTGTAGAGCACACTTTTGTATTTACCAAAATAATGTTGTGGAAAACATGATTTAACACATGGCACCATACTTCTGACAACAAACAACAAAATAGTTCTCCAGAATCAACACTGAGGAATGTTTTACTCTTCTGAGCAATTGCTTTTGTTTCATTTTGTAGAACCTTTGAGATGGTTAATCAACCATAATTCTGTATTTTTGTGGTCTGCCAGAAACCTTAATGTTTCCTATCACTAGAAAAGGGCAGCATAGTGGTGTGCTAATCACGCTAGTGGTTTTATCTTATTTTTCTCACCTTCATTCCCCCATTCCTCTGTTATGGTTCGCATGCTTCCAAATCTCATGTTAAAATATATCCCCAATGTTGGAGTTGGGGCTTAACGGGAGGTGTTTGGGTCACAGACGCAGTTTCTTTATGCATAAATTAATACCCTCCCTTAGGGGTGAGTGCTCCATTAGTTCCCAAAGGAGCTAGTTGTTTGAACAAACCTGGTGTCTCCCTCTCTCTCTTTCTTCCTCTCTTGCCGTGTAATCTTTATGCAAGCCAGCTCCCCTTTGCTTTCTGCCAGAAGTGGAAGGAGCCTGAGACCCTCACCATATGCAGTATCCCAAACTCGAACTTTCCAATCATGGGAATCATGAGCCAAATAACTTTTTTCTTTATAAATTAGTGAGCTGCAAGGATTCATTTGTAGCAACATTAAATGAACTAATACCCTTTTTAAATCTTATTTGTGTGCATCTTGCTACCTGCCTTGTCTTTCTAGAACGAGGTGAAGTAAAAGGAAAAATATTTAAATTAATAAAATTTAGTTTACACATTAAACTAAACTTGATTAAAGAAAACTGGTTGGATTAGACCTAGTTAAATTTAAATTATCTGTGGTTTCTAAGATGGCCATTAAGAAGGGAGTTCAGTTTTTCACATTTCCAACCTACTTGTGAGATTCTTTAGAGTGTAGTTTAGACATCTTATAATTTGAAAGTAGTAATAAGATTGAAAAATAGAAATTGCTGTCATTAAAATGTTACTGAGACCTAATTTTACAAAGGCCTTGTAGTCATTCTGTAGGTAAAATTGTATAAATCCACCATCTTTCCCTGGGAATCTAGAATCACTAATAAAAGGTTTACTACATTCAAATCAAGGAAATTTGAATCCAAAAAGATTCAAACTAAGAATTGTTTGTATCATTCTAAGAAGTGAAGGATATATTCAGTTGTGGTTGAAAGAAGGTGCTGTGAAACACATTCATAAAAGAGCTTGTGCCTCTTTGAGGTAAACGAATGACAGTTCCCAGGAGCCACCAGGATTTAAACAACTTCTGAGTTATTTCAAATAACATAAGACAAACATCCCAGGAATGACCTTATAAAACATTTTTCTATTTGCCCTATTAATTTCTTCAGATACTCGTTCACTAGGAGAAAGTAAAAACCTGTAAAATATAATGCTAAATCTAAAAGTCTGCAAGCTTAAATTTAAATATTTCAAGTAAATACATCCAAGTTGTAAAAATGTCAAAACATTCCCAGTACCTGACTTATTAAAAACAAAATTTCCCAGGCTAAAGCCCAGTAGGAAAGGAATGTTTGCTCCATCATTCTTTCCTCAACCTGAATTCCGAAAGTACTCCTCCCTTTGTATAAAAAAAGACAACAATCATCTCAACTTGTCAGCATATAGAATGCCATGTAATTGTCATGACATGCCACAAAATGTAGACAAATGTTTTTGAATTTTTTTTTTCAACTGCCGGACCTATTACAATGTAACCACATAAGCTATTGGTATTATATTGATATTCCAGCTTTTGTGTTACTGTAACTTATCACACCCATCATGTCAGAACCAAGAGTCTTTAATCATTATCATCCTCATTTCTGAAGGGTTGGGGTAAGGAGACAAATTTTGTCAGTCTTATAGAATTGGCAATTACAGATATCATAACTTCAAATTTAGAAATT